GGCGGAGCTCGGGGCTGCTGTGCTTCTCGCCCGCGCTTGCCTTCCCCCATTCCCCCTCCTCCCCGTCCGCGTCCGCGCTATCTCCGCCCATGTCCGCGGCGGAGGCGCGCACGAGCGGGCGCGCGGTGCTGTTCTGCCGCCAATGCCAGCGATTCACCGACAGGCCGGTGGCGAGAGGGACAGGGGAGGCGGAGAATGGGCGGAAGGGGAAAGAAGAGGGGCAGCCGCAGGTGACGGCGGAAGGGCAGTGCGCAAGCGGGGGGAAGGGGGAAGGATTGGGGAAGGGCAAGGCCGGGGGGGGGGCGCGAGAGTGGGGGAGTTTTGTAGGCGGACTGGTATGAAGCGGACTGGAAACATGTCTCCCCCCTTTCCGCCGTCACTCCCCCCCGAGCCCCCCCGCCTCTGACGCGTGGCAGTGGTCCCGCTTTGGGCGGCAACTTAGCCGCCAAGACGGCCGCCCGGGCGGCAGGTCTGCGCGCAGCGAGCTGGACGGGATGATGGGCGGGGCGAGCGGGGGGGAAGGGGGGAGCGCGCGGAGGGATGCGCGGGAGGAGTATGTGAATCGGTTCAAGGCGAGTTTGCAGGGGTGGGGGGGGCACCCGTGGGCGCAGGGACAGGGGCAGCAGGGGCAGGGACAGGCAGGCGCGGGGGGAGAAAAGAAAGCGCAAAGGCAGGGGCAGGGGCGGAGTGAGGGGCAGCAGGTGGGCAGCAGCGGAAGGAATAGAAGCCCTGGCGGTGGCGGAAGCAGCGCCAGCGCGTATCCCCCTAGCTTCTCCTCCCCCCTCCTGCACGCCCCCAGAGGCCCCCCCGCCCCGCCTCCGCCCCCGTCCCCCCTGGCCGCGCCCACGCAGATCCCCCCCGCGCCTGGCGCGGGTGCGGGGGAGAAGCGGGGGAGGGGGCAGCAGAGCGGGGGAGGGGAGGGGAGGGAGGGGCGGGAAGGGCGGGAAGGGCGAGAGGGGAGGGAGGGGCATGTGCCGTGTTTTGGGGCGGCAGGGGGAGGGGAGGACGGGACAGAGCACAACTGGGGAGGGGCGAATCTGGGGAGAATCTGCCCACGCCCAAGCAGATCCGGGCAGCTCTGGATGAATTTGTGATCGGGCAGGATAATGCGAAAAAGGTGAGCGGGTGCTGGTGACGTGGCAGTTACTGTTAGGCTGGTGGTGTAACAGGTTTACAGTCACAGACTCGCTAAGAGCAGTATTTTTTCTTCTTCTTTTGATTTTATTTGTAACCGAATGTTTGCAGTGGCGGTGGTGTACCCACTACGAGCGCATCTTCTCTATAAGCTCATTTCGTTACGAGCCCTTTCCGATCCCCGTATGCTACCCTTTGCTGCAGGTTTTGGCAGTGGCAGTTTACAATCACTACAAGCGCATCTTTCTTGAAAAACCAGAAGCGGGAAAGACTTGCCAACCTGCCAGAGGGGTGAGAAGGGGTAAAAAAAAGGCGAGAGGAGGTTCAGAGGGGTGAGAGGGGGAGGAGAGGAAGTGGGAGAGGGGCTGTGTGCTGTGTGTGGTGAGGGATGGAGAGGGAGAGGAAATGTTCTTTAAAGTGATTCAAGCAAGGATTAAGAGGGAGAGGGAGAGGGAGTGACCGGTCATCTACCTGAACGATCCCCTTTTCTACACCTCACATGGGGGAAAGAGATTAGGCTTGCTCCACATTTTGCCCACTGTCCGCCCTCCCTCACTCACTCACTTCTGTTCTTGCTCACCCCCATGGTGGATAAGAGCAACGTGCCCCTCACTCCCTACCCTCTCCCTATGCCCCCCCGTCGCCCTCTCTTCCACCTCTCTTCCCCCCTGCAGGGCGTGCGAGAACCTGGTGGGGGGCGGTGAGGAGGACGAGGTGGAGGTGGAGAAGAGCAACGTGCTGCTGATGGGTCCCACGGGTTCAGGTGGGTGCAAGAATCACCACTGCAGCATACGGGGGGCAGGGCCGCATGGGAGCAGCGGAATAGCATAGGGTAGGGCAAGCATGGGACGAGGTGCAGGTGGGGAAGAGCAACGTGGTGCTCATGGGAGGGACCCACAGGCTCTGGTGGGTGGGTGGTTGGATGCAGCCCATCGGAAGCAGTAGGTGTTTGGACGGGTTCAGGCGTCGTGTCGTCTCAAAACTCGATGGGCCCGACTGACTGACACATGGGTCCCTCGCACGGGCCCCGATCATGTCGCTCGCATACAGCTGTTCAGGTACTATCGCCTGTCAAGCAAGGGCTGCCCAGAGGGTTTATTGGAGGGAAGATTTTAACAGGCTCATGAATGCGTGTATGCGTTCTTGCCTTCCTGTCGCCCAGCGGTCTCATGAGCAACGTGCTTCTCATCTCGCTCACGCGTGTGTCTCTCTCCACTCAACTTATCCCACTCCCCACCTGTCAACTCACCTTATCGGCTCCACTCCATCCGCCCACTCCCTACCCGCTCCGCGCCTGTCCGGCCTGTGATGGCAATGTGGTCAACATCCCAGGCCACTCCCTACCTTATTCTTTGCGGGCGGTATTTCAACCGCTGCTGTCCCTTGGGTGCAGTGCATGCAGGCAAGACCCTACTGGCCAAGACTCTGGCGCGGTTTGTCAACGTGCCATTCGCCATTGCTGATTTTTGAGTCGACTCAAAAAAGTCCCCTCCCCCCACACACTGGTGGGTGACTATCCCCTCCCCCCCCCCAACGCGTGCAGGCAAGACCCTACTGGCCAAGACTCTGGCTCGGTTTGTCAACGTGCCATTCGCCATTGCTGATTTTTGAGTCGACTCAAAAAAGTCCCCTCCCCCCACACACTGGTGGGTGACTATCCCCTCCCCCCCCCCAACGCGTGCAGGCAAGACCCTACTGGCCAAGACTCTGGCTCGGTTTGTCAACGTGCCATTCGCCATTGCTGATGCCACCACTCTCACTCAGGTGCGCCTTTAACGAGGTGACTCTTAATTGACTCAAAGGCCACTCTCACCCAGCTGCGTCTCATACCGCCACTCTCATCAACTTCCACACCCAGCTGCGTCTCATACCGCCACTCTCATCAACTTCCACACCCAGCTGCGTCTCATACCGCCACTCTCATCAACTTCCACACCCAGCTGCGTCTCATACCGCCACTCTCATCAACTTCCACACCCAGCTGCGTCTCATACCGCCACTCTCATCAACTTCCACACCCAGCTGCGTCTCATACCGCCACTCTCATCAACTTCCACACCCAGCTGCGTCTCATACCGCCACTCTCATCAACTTCCACACCCAGCTGCGTCTCATACCGCCACTCTCATCAACTTCCACACCCAGCTGCGTCTCATACCGCCACTCTCATCAACTTCCACACCCAGCTGCGTCTCATACCGCCACTCTCATCAACTTCCACACCCAGCTGCGTCTCATACCGCCACTCTCATCAACTTCCACACCCAGCTGCGTCTCATACCGCCACTCTCATCAACTTCCACACTCAGCTGCGTCTCTCTGATTCTCAGGTTGGATACAGCCTGGTTTCCACACTCTTTCACACGGGAGAGTTCACCAGTATGGTTAACCAGTAGGGTTAACTCTCCCGTGTCATGGTATGCCACTTAGGGAGTGCGTGACAAGGGGCATATTATTACTATCACCGTTGCTCTTGAGCCAATTCCCACACGATGACTCGTGATTCGCCTCAAAGGTCACTTCGTTACAGTGGCATGCAGGACAACGGGCTTTCTACTAGAACTGTGTTTCCTGAGCCAACGCTCACCTATTTCTCATTCTCTGGTGCTGTTTGTCGTGCAGGCTGGTTATGTGGGAGAGGACGTGGAGATGATTCTCTATAAGCTGCTGCAGGTGAGGGACAGAAGGGGTTGTTGGGGTTGGGACAGGGAGTGGGGGGTGGGGGGGTTATGTTATGTTAGTGTTTCTGCTCCTCGTGCAGGCGGGGTATGTGGGAGAGGACGTGGAGATGATTCTCTATAAGCTGCTGCAGGTGAGGGGGTTTGGAAGAGGTGAGACGGGTCAGTAGAGGTGTTAGCTTGTCGTGCAGAGGACGCGGAGATGATATTTTACAAGTTGCTGCACCTACAAGTGGAGGTGAGGGTAGGGGTTGCTGCACCCGGGTCCCAACCCCGGGTGGCTTCACGTAGCTCAACTGCTCCTTACAAGTTACATTCATTTTGCTCCTGATGTGCATGCTTGCATGTTCATGACTATCTGTTCTGTGTGTGATTCCCATGGTGGTGTGTGTGTGTGCGTGACTGTCCATTTGTCTTACGCAGAGCGCCAATTTCAGTGTGTCAGCAGCGCAGCAGGGCATCGTGTATATCGACGAGATCGACAAGCTTACCAAGAAGGTGGGCTCGCTAGCAGCACTAGCGGCACTAGCTGCACGGGCACTAGGAGATGCAACCCCCCCCCACTAAAGCAGCAGCGCAGCAGGGATCGTGTATATCGACGAGATCGACAAGCTTACCAAGAAGGTAGGCTTGCTAGCAGCACTAGGGGCACTAGCGGCACTGGCGCTAAGTAGGTGCTCCCCACCCCACCAGAGCAGCAGCGCAGAAGGGCATTGTAAACATAGATGAGATTGACACGCGCACTAAAAACATGAGCTTAATCTGGACAGCCCCCGCTCTCCCCTCTGTGCGTGCCTGGACAGGCAGAGGGCATCACGAGCACACGGGACGTGTCAGGGAAAGGCGTGTTGGAGTGTCTTATCCAATAAGTGTCTTACTGATTCCTCTCTCCCCCCTCTCTCATCTCCGCGCCCTGTATGACTGCACAGGCAGAGGGCATCACGAGCACACGGGACGTGTCAGGGGAGGGCGTGCAGCAGGCGCTTTTGAGGATGCTCGAGGGCGCTGTGAGTAAAGAAGGGGGGGGGGGAGGGAGGGTATGGGAGTATGTGAGGAGGTTGGAGGAGGCGGGATGGGAGGGACGTGTCAGGGGAGGGCGTGCAGCAGGCGCTGTTGAGAATGCTCGAGGGCGCTGTGAGTGGGGGGAAGGGGTGGGCTGTAAGGGGATATGATGTGAGCTGGTTTGAAGGACGGTGGGATGAGAGACACAGGTCTATTGGCGTTTGAGATGTGGCAGGGGAGGGCGTGCGGCCGCCGTTGTTGAGGATGCTGAGGGGCGCTGTGAGGGTGGTGTGAGCATCCATGAGCCCGTTTGTCACACGTGTGTGTCCCTCTACCTACTGGTGCGGAGCGGATCTTCTCACTCCCCCTGGGCCCTGGGTGCAGGTGATTGATGTGCCAGAGAAAACAGGGAGGAAGTCCTTCAGAGATTTAGGGCGCCTTGTAAGTCTCATGTGCCGGTCTTCCCCCTGCTCCTCCCCTCTTCTCCCGGGTACAGGTGATCAATGTGCCAGAGAAAACAGGGAGGAAGAATCCAAGAGGCGAGTTCATACAGGTACGGGCTACAGGGGTGCGGGAGTGCGAGGGTTGCAGGGGTGCAGGGGTACGGGGGTAGAACAACGATACCGGGTGTTTCTGTTTTGAGACGTCTCAAAACACTTCTTCAAACACGGAGTGCGAGGGTTGCAGGGGTGCAGGGGTACGGGGGTAGAACAACGATACCGGGTGTTTCTGTGCCGAATGCCTGGAAATCACAACGAATATCACACAGAGCGGAAAGGGTTTCTGCTCAATGGCTAGATACGTTTGAGGCGCATTCCAAGTCGGAGTGTGTTTGTTAGCATGGCTAGCGACCTTCATCCCCTTGGAATTTACCTCAACAGAGGTGAGGGTCGATGAAGAGTATGTCTACCACCTCTTATTCCAACTTTTGAGGCGCGTCAGGAGTTGTCTCCGTTCATGCTTACTGCCTGCCATTCCCCTCTCGCATACCTCCCCTTTCTTTGCCCCACCCATCCCACCAGGTTGACACACAAGACATACTCTTCATCAACCCTCACCTCTGTTGCTTGCCGTGCCAGCCATTCCCAGCCCAATACCCCCTTTCCCATACTTGACTTTGCCTTTCCCCTCCCAACCCACCAGCTGGACACACAGAACATTCTCTTCATCTGCCCTCCACTGCCGCTGCCTGCTATTCCCACCCCCACGCCCCAAGCCACATGCCCGATGCCCCATCCACCCCAATGCTTCCCCTTATCCCACCCCGCCAGCTGGACACACAGAACATTCTCTTCATCTGTGGAGGGGCATTCGTGGATCTGGAAAAGACGATTGCAGAGAGGTGAGGCGGAGGCTGCTTTTGCTGACTCAAAATGCACTCACTGATACGTCTGCTATCGTCAGGTTTTTGAGATTTCTCAAAACATTTGCTGACTCAAAATGCACTCACTGATACGTCTGCTATTGTCAGGTTTTTGAGAATTCCTTCAAAATTTGCTGACTCGAAATGCACTCACTGATACGTCTGCTGTCGTCAGTTATGACCTAAAAAAAAAAAATCGAAGAAAAGACAATCGCACTGAAGGTGCGCAACCATGGTTTTGGGGCAGGGAAAATGAAGCCACCGTTTCTCGCCTTTCAGTGCGATTGTCTTCGCCGCAGCAGTGTGTGCTACAACTGTGTATGCAGGCAATGTCAGGAATGCAGTCCCATCTTAACTACTTTGCCTACTCTGATGACCCACCCACATGTTAGAAACGACTTTCAATAATTGTCTGCAGTTTGACTCTAACATTGACTGCGGTTTGAATCGGTCTGATTGTCTGCAGTCAATGTTAGGAATGTATCTCCTGCCTTTCGTTGGCCGTGCTATGCTAGCCCTCAGAGCTCCTAAGCGCGCAACTCTGCAAGCACTGCAAGAACATACAATGTTGTCTTGACTGCATGTCTTGACTCTCTCTATTACCATTCATTTGTTGCAGGAAGCGCAAGTCATCAATCGGCTTCGGGGCCCCCGTGTGACATTGCTGCAATCATTGCAAGCAGACATGAGACTGACTGCATTCCATGACTCAAATCCCAATATTACCTTGCTGCGTGCAGGAAGCACAAGTCATCCATCGGCTTCGGGGCCCCCGTGCGCGCATCGCTGCGCAACCGATCGGTGCTTGACGCCCGCACTGCCGGCTCGCTGCTGCAATCGGTGAGTGCTAACTCTATACCGTTGGTTTGTTTGTTTGTTTTTTTGGTTGATTTGTTTGTTGGTTTGATTGTTTGGTTGGGTTTTGTTTTGTTTTGTTTTGTTTTGTCATTGTTTTAGCGCGTGTGCCAGCGATCCATGCTTGCAACACTTGCTGTGTGTGCTTGTGGGCGTGCTGCTTTTGAGAGCTGCTTTTCACTGTCCTATAAGCCACCTGCTGCAGTTGATGCGTGCTCTTCCTTCAACCATCCTTTCCCCGCCACCCCGCAAACCCCCTTCCCCCCTTTTTTTGTATCAACGGCTCGCAGAGAGCACTTTTGAGGCGCCTCAAAAGTTGTCTCTCTACCCGCAATTCCCGTATCTCCCCCCCCCCCCCCCCCCCCCCCCGTCTTTTTTTGCTCATCAACTGCACTCAGAGAGCACAGATCGGGTAGCCTACAGGCTCGTCCCCGAGTTTGTGGGGCGATTCCTTGTGTTATTGTTATACCCCTCCAGATCCTCCCTCCCCATCGTTCAACATCCCTCCCCACCCGTCCCCACCCCTCCCTACCCCTCTGGAACGGCAGGCAGAGAGCACGGATCTGATAGCCTATGGGCTCATCCCTGAGTTTGTGGGGCGATTCCCCGTGCTGGTGGGGCTGCATGCGCTCACAGAGGAGCAACTCGTGCAGGTAATGACTGGTGCAGGTAATGACTGGTGCAGGTAATGACTGGTGCAGGTAATGACTGGTGCAGGTAATGACTGATGCAGGTAGTGACTTGTGCAGGTAATGACTGGTGCAGGTAGTGACTGGTGCAGGTAGTGACTGGTGCAGGTAATGACTGGTGCAGGTAATGACTGGTGCAGGTAGTGACTGGTGCAGGTAATGACTGGTGCAGGTAATGACTGGTGCAGGTAATGACTGGTGCAGGTAATGACTGATGCAGGTAGTGACTTGTGCAGGTAATGACTGGTGCAGGTAGTGACTGGTGCAGGTAATGACTGGTGCAGGTAATGACTGGTGCAGGTAGTGACTGGTGCAGGTAATGACTGGTGCAGGTAATGACTGGTGCAGGTAATGACTGGTGCAGGTAATGACTGGTGCAGGTAATGACTGGTGCAGGTAATGACTGGTGCAGGTAATGACTGGTGCAGGTAATGACTGGTGCAGGTAATGACTGGTGCAGGTAATGACTGGTGCAGGTAGTGACTGGTGCTGGTAATGACTGGTGCAGGTAGTGACTGGTGCAGGTAATGACTGGTGCAGGTAATGACTGGTGCTGGTAATGACTGGTGCAGGTAATGACTGGTGCGGGTAATGACTGGTGCGGGTAATGACTGGTGCGGGTAATGACTGGTGTGTGTAGGCTTTGGTAACAACAGCTGGTGCTCATGGGGCTGCGTGCTTTCACAAAAGAGCAACATGTGCAGGTAGGTGTAGTGCAGGTGGCAACTGGTGCAGGTGGCAACTGATGCAGGTGGAAGCAAAGGACCTTTCTTATGCACTTCGAATTATGTCTATATACAGAGCTGAGTGGCTTTCCTTGCATGATTCGACACGTATTTTGGTCCATCTTCTTTTCCTAATCCCTGCCCAGAAAATTTACGTTCTTAAAACCGGAGGGCCAAGAAGGCCCAAATTGCCTCAACCTTCCTAACCTTGGTTGAGTTTGGCCCTCGCACCCAAAATCTTGGCCAATTGTGTTGCTCGCTCCAACCAAGCTTCCTAAGGTTGAAGTTCTTGGCCCGCGGGTTGTAACCCCTGAAACACTACCCGATTCTTATCCCTCTCCCCACCCTCCTGCTCCTTCTCCGTACTCGTTCTCTCCTCTCGGTGTGGCTCTCACTTGCAGGTTCTCTTAAAGCCCAAGAACGCCCTCAGCAAGCAATTCGCCAAGCTATTGGCCATGAACAACGTGAGTGCAGTGTGGGCTGCTGGTTGTGGGTCACGAGCATTGTGTTTTCTATTGTATAAATAAGAAATCCAGACAGTTCTCGGTTAGCAAGCAAGTGCAATTTGCAAAGCTACAGGATGCAGAATAGCACTCAGTGTTGCCTTCTTCCTTGTCCTCATGCTCTCCCAATCCTCCCCTCCCCTCTTACTGAGGCCCGTCTGCACATGACAGAGGAGGCAGTGAGGGCCATTGCGTGGAGTACAGCACCCATTCTTGCCCTTTTCCATGACCTCGTGCCATCTCCATCTCATCTCTTCCTGCCCTCCCTTCCACTCCACCCACTCAGGCCCGCTTGCACATGACGGAGGGGGCAGTGAGGGCCATAGCGCGCAGAGCAGCAGCGCGAAACACGGGGGCCAGGGGGCTGCGATCGCTGCTGGAGGGGCTGCTCACCGAGGCTATGTACGAGGTATGGCGACTGCCGAGGCTATGTACGAGGTATGGCGACTGCCGAGGCTATGACGAGGTATGGTGGCTGCCAAGGCTGTGTATGAGGTATGATGATTACCGAGGCTATGTATGAGGTATGGCGGTTACTGAGCCTCTGTATGAGGTACAATGTAATAGATACAGTACTCACCAGGCCTATGTACGGGGTACGGTGTAACAGGCTAACAAAAGGTACGGCGGTTACTAAGGCTGTGTATGAGGTACGTACAGCAGTTACCGAGGCACTGCTTGAGGTATGTACGGCAGTTACCAAGGCTGTGTATGAGGTACTGTGATCGCCAGTGGACCTTGGTATTGTTGTGAAGGCAATGTTGTTGGATGAGGTATCAGTGGGGGCTCGGAGGGGAGGTGGGGTTAACCTGCTCGCTGCTTTCCTCCATCCATCCCTCCATTCCGTCCTTCCCACCCCAACTCCCCAGGTCCCCAGCAATCTGGTGGAAGCAGTGGTGCTGGACGAGGCATCGATGGGGCACGAGGGGGAGGAAGGGGAAGAGGGCAAGCCGGTGTGCAACTGTGTCCTTGATCATTGCCCTCATTCCACGCCCATCCGTCATCTCATGCCCCAACCCACCAGGTCCCCAGCAGTCTAGTGAAGGCAGTTGTGTTGGACAAGGCATCGGTGGGGCACGAGGGGGAGGAGGGGGGCGACGGGGTAACCTGCACTCTGCCATCATCCATCCATCCCTCCTATCCCTGCTCTTCCAAGCCTGATCTTCCCGTCCCTGCCATCCCTGCCATCCCCACCAGGTCCCCAGCTCTCTGGTGGAAGCAGTGGTGCTGGACGAGGCATCGGTGGGGCACGAGGGGGAGGAGGGCGAGGACGGGGTACCGGGGTGTGGGGCCCACATACTGCAAGGGGAGGGCTCGTGGGAGCGGTGGTTGCAGGATAACGAGGGGGGAGGAGAGAAGGCGGGAGGGAAGGGAGAGGAGGGCCAAGGGGGAGGAAGCAAGGGAGGCTCATCTGGGGGAGGTGGAAGTGATGAGGAATCGGATGCAGCTCCTGCTCTTGCCACAGCCACTGCAGCTTGATCTGCCTTGTCGTCTCCTGTCGAGCACCTGTCTACCACGCTTGGACTCTTCTCAGCTCCTGCACTTGCCACAGCCACTGCAGCTTGATCTGCCTTGTCGTCTCCTGTCGAGCACCTGTCTACCACGCTTGGACTCTGCTCAGCTCCTGCACTTGCCACAGCCACTGCAGCTTGATCTGCCTTGTCGTCTCCTGTCGAGCACCTGTCTACCACGCTTGGACTCTGCTCAGCTCCTGCACTTGCCACAGCCACTGCAGCTTGATCCGCCATGCCACTGCATCTCCCATCCAGCATCTGTCTACTACCCCTTCTATTGTGGTGGACTGGGGGATGTCACCGTGCTAGAGCGTGCTGCTAGGTATCGGTGTATCCTTGCCGCTCGGAAGGTGGGATTGCAGGATGTTTTCATCATCTGTGTGTATATGCCTCCTCTTCTCTCTCGCTCGGAGTTCAAACAGTTTGTCTGCCTCCGATTGCATGTTTTCCTGCAAGTACTGTACTGCATGTATGATATACGTAGAGCAAACAAGGGGTACTATAACGCAGAGCGTGGACAATAAAGAGAGTGACAATAGCGAGAGGGGAGATGAAACCCCCCCATGCCCCCCCAAGGCCCCCCTAAGGCCCCCCTAAGGCCCCCCTAAGGCCCCCCTAAGGCCCCCCTAAGGCCCCCCTAAGGCCCCCCTAAGGCCCCCCTAAGGCCCCCCTAAGGCCCCCCTAAGGCCCCCCTAAGGCCCCCCTAAGGCCCCCCTAAGGCCCCCCTAAGGCCCCCCTAAGGCCCCCCTAAGGCCCCCCTAAGGCCCCCCTAAGGCCCCCCTAAGGCCCCCCTAAGGCCCCCCTAAGGCCCCCCTAAGGCCCCCCTAAGGCCCCCCTAAGGCCCCCCTAAGGCCCCCCTAAGGCCCCCCTAAGGCCCCCCTAAGGCCCCCCTAAGGCCCCCCTAAGGCCCCCCTAAGGCCCCCCTAAGGCCCCCCTACCCCCCAAATCCCCTCCAAATCCCCTCACAGCCCCCCACAGCCCCCCCCAACCCCCAATCCCTGGCATGGCATCTATCCCAGGCATGGCATGGCATGGTCCTGGTTCTGGTCCTGGTCCTGGTCTTGTTCCTGGTTCTGGTTCTGGTCTTGGTCCTGGTCTTGTTCCTGTTCCTGGTCCTGGTCCTGGTCCTGTTCCTGTTCAGGTTCCTGGTCCTGGTCTTGTTCCTGTTCCTGTTCAGGTTCCTGTTCCTGTTCATGTTCCTGTTCCTGTTCATGTTGTCAGAAGGTGGCTGGAACAGTAACAAGACGGCACGAACAGCAGCTGGGCGGCAGCAACAGTAACCAGGTGGCCATAGCAGTAACTGGGCGGCTGGAACATTAACCGGGCAGCTGGAGCGATTACCAGGCTGGTGAAGTGGTAACCAGGCGGCTGGAGCGATAACCGGGCGGCTGGAACGGTAAGCAGGCGACAGGAACAGTAACCGGGCGGCATAAACAGCAGCCGGGCGGCATGAACAGTAACCGGGCTTGCAGGCGCCAAGGCTAGGCCAAACCCACCCCGTGCCTAGCCTTGCCCAAACCCACCCCGCAGCTCTTATATATCGACACACGCACACACAAGTACCGTACAAAACAAGAGCAAGGTGCATGTCCTTGTAAATATCCTACTTGTAGATGTGCCTCTATCTTGGCGGGGTGAGAAGGTCTCTTCACGGCGCCCTGCAGCGAGAGAAGGCCACCTGCGCAAGGCGGGGTGGGGAGGGGTGGCAGGATGGCAGGTGTGACAGCATGGCTCTCCGAGCCTCATCCAGACCAGAGCGGAGAGTGAACAGTGCAGGATGGGAACCAGTGGGGTGAACAGTGCGGGATGGGGAAACAGTGGGGTGAGCAGTGCGGGATGGGGAAGCAATAGGATGAACAGTGGGGGATGGGAAAACAGGGGGGTGAGGAGGAGTGCAGAGCAAGGGAACAACGAGTGCAGAGCAAGGGAACGACGAGTGCAGAGCAAGGGAACGACGAGTGCAGAGCAAGGGAACGACGAGTGCAGAGCAAGAGCATAGGAGAAGGGGGCCAGGAGAGTGAGAGCATAGGAGAAAGGGGCCAGGAGAGTGAGAGCATAGGAGAAGGGGGCCAGGAGAGTGAGAGCATAGGAGAAGGGGGCCAGGAGAGTGAGAGCATAGGAGAAGGGGGCCAGGAGAGTGAGAGCATAGGAGAAGGGGGCCAGGAGAGTGAGAGCATAGGAGAAGGGGGCCAGGAGAGTGAGAGCATAGGAGAAGGGGGCCAGGAGAGTGAGAGCATAGGAGAAGGGGGCCAGGAGAGTGGGGACCGTTGTCTCACCTCGTGCCTCACTGGCTTCGCCTTAGCCTCGCCGCACCGTTGCCCAGCTGCGCCCGTCACTGTCGGCAGAAACGAGCAAGGGCAGAAACGAGCAAGGGCGGAAACGAGCACGAGGACATGGCATGGCATGGTAATCGGGCGGCATGAACAGTAACGGGGCGGCAGGAGCAGTGACGGGCGGCAGGAGCAGTGACCGGGCGGCAGGAGCAGTGACCGGGCGGCACGAGCAGTGACGGGCGGCACGAGCAGAGACGGGCGGCACGAGCAGAGACGGGCGGCACGAGCAGTGACGGGCGGCACGAGCAGTGACGGGCGGCACGAACAGTGACGGGCGGCACGACCAGTGACGGGCGGCACGACCAGTGACGGGCGGCACGACCAGTGACGGGCGGCACGACCAGTGACGGGCGGCACGACCAGTGACGGGCGGCACGACCAGTGACGGGCGGTACGACCAGTGACGGGCGGCACGACCAGTGACGGGCGGCATCAACAGTGACGGGCGGCATGAACAGTGACGGGCGGCATGAACAGTGACGGGCGGCATGAACTGTAACCGGGCAGCGGGAACAGTAACCAGGCTTGTAGGGGCCAAGGCTAGCCCAAACCTACCCCGTGCCTAGCCCAAACCCACCCCGCAACTCTTATATCGACACACGCACAAGTACCATACAAACAAGAGCAAGGTGCATGTCCTAATAAATATCCTACTTGTAAGTATGTCTCGTGTCTTGGCGGGGTGAGAAGGTCTCTTCACGGTGCCCCGCAGAAAGGAGAGAAGACCTTTCTGCACAAGGCGGGGTGGGGAGGGATGGCAGGTGTGACAGCATGGCGGATGGTTTAGAAACCATGGCAGAGGTTTAGGGTGCAGCACAGGTGAGTGGAGGGGAGCAGAGCACGTGAGTGAGTGAGGAGCAATAGGAGCGAGCGCGAGGGGCCTCACCTCACTGGCCTCAACAGGTCTGCCCAGAGCGCTCCAAGTCTGCCCCAACCCTTTATGAGGTGCCTCAAAAATCTGCCCAGGGCGCGCCGAGTCTGCCCCAACCTTTCCGAGGAGAGGAGGTGAACGGAGGGAAGGAGAGGTTTTAGCATAGGGGCTGGCGGAGGGCGGAACGAGGAGGAGGGCGGAACGAGGAGGAAGGGCGCAACGAGGAGGAAGGGCGCAACGAGGAGGAAGGGCGCAACAAGGAGGAAGGGCGCAACGAGGGGGAGGGCGGAACGAGGAGAAAGGGCGGAGGAACGAACAAGGGCAGAATGACGGAAGTGGAACGAGCAAGTGCGGAACGAGCAAGGGCGGAACGAGCAAGTGCGGAACGAGCAAGGGCGGAACGAGCAAGTGGGGAACGAGCAAGGGCGGAACGAGCAAGTGTGGAACGAGCAAGTGCGGAACGAGCAAGGGTGGAACGAGCAAGTGGGGAACGAGCAAGGGCGGAACGAGCAAGGGTGGAACGAGCAAGTGCGGAACGAGCAAGGGTGGAACGAACAAGGTGAGAAGAAACGCAGTCTGGCAGCAGAGAAAGAAACACCTCTGATTCCAACTATTCTGTGGGAGATCGATTTCATTCTAACACAGCGAGTAGGTGCTGATAGTTTGAAAGAGAGATCAGCGCTGCTGTTCGATAGAAGCGAGCAGGGCGTAATCGGTGGTGGCGAGGACTACTAGGACGAGGTCGATGACAATGAGAGAGGCAAGGAAGGAGCGGCCGTGGTGAGAGAAGAAACGCAGTCTATGCACTCGTCTCTGCAGTCGTCTCTCGACCTGTTTGAGGGACTTAGAAACGTAAAAACGTGCGTTGCTCGACAATTTCGCGACCGTTCGACGGTGAGGTCCGACCGAGCCACCTCGCGCGCACGTGCGTTCGCTCCGCGCAGCGACCCGTGTGACATGACATCGCATCATGCTGCAAACTAAACGGACATCAAACGCGATATTCGCTAATGAGAAAAAGCGCGGGACGGCTAAACGAAAGCGCTGCGCAGGGTGCAGCGCGAGGCGAGCAGGACGACGACTATCTAACGACCGCGAGGCGCACGAACAAACACGCGACTAGGACCTTAGCGAATGACACAGCAGCGGATTAGGTGGCTGTGACTGTAATTCTAGCTGCATAGTAGGTATGAGGGAAGAAGGTTCGAGTAGACCCGAAGACGGTTTGGGCTGAGGCAGCAGCGGGATGGATGGGACGGGTAGCTACCCAACCCCACCCACACAATGTTTTGTAACATTGTGGGCAGTAGAAACAAAAGTAGGAACATATCGAACCATAAAGGGTGTATTCTGACCACTCCTACTAGTGTAAAATCTCTTCGATTTTACTGTAGGTTGTGTGAAAGGTATCCAAACCCAAACCGAAATGGAAAAAAAAAAACAAAAGAGAAATACACCCACATCTCCAATGGGTTTCAAAGCCTGTTCCAGCGCGCTTGTCGTGGTGGAACAGGTCAAGAAAAAAAAAACACCCACCAATGAAAATTCAAAGCCTTGTCCAGCGCACGGATCGCGCGGTGAAACAGGTCAAGAATGATAGTATTACGGTGAGGTTGGTTCCAATATACAGCGCGGTTCCGACGAATCCAAATTTACATAGTGTATATATTTCTTTTGCTACTCAACTAGCATCAATAGATGTTTGTATTCGAATGTGAATTGTTAAATGGGCATACGAGAAGATAAACAAAGGACACACAT